ACACAGAGTACAAAAGTGCAGCATGGCTTAAAGATCACAAAGGAAAAAGGAGGAAGGAAGGGAGGGAAGGAGATAAACTAATAAGAAAATTATATTTGGTGGGGCAATAGGTGATTTTTCAGAACTAACAGATGTCAATTCCCAGATTCAAGATTCATAGTAAACATTAAGTAGGATAAATAAAAAGACAGCCATGCTTGGGCACATTATAGGGATTCAGTGGAACACACGTAAAAAGAGATTACCAAATCAGACAGAAAAGCCAGATATACTAAAAACTTGTGTCCACCAGACTGAACAATTACCTCTCAACAACTACAGAATTGATAAGATTGCAGGACAATATATTTAAGATAGTCCAAGAAAATTATCACTCACTTTGAATTTTTACCCAGAAATATTACTTTTGCGAAAATTAATAATATTTTCAAATAAAGGCAATTAAAGCCTGAGAGCCCTTCAGGTTGCAGGGAACAGTGTGTAAAAGCATGCTAAAGGTGTTGAGTTTTCTATAATAATATTATTTTAATTATTTATTTTCATAAGGAAAAAGGAAGTGATCTAAATTGTTGGGAGTTAGAATTAGGGAAATTGGCATTAACCAGGCTTTTTCCAAACTGTGATGTCCTGGTTCTAGATAGCATTATCATTCACACCAGGTGACAGTTGATCAGTGGTCTGAAATTATGCATAAGTTCATTATTGGCATAGTATCCCAGGGTGTTCTGAGAAAGTATGTTTTAAGTTAAACTGAGGGAATGAGTAGTGGGAAGCAAGGCAGAGATAGCTAAAGGAACAGAGAATTTAGGTGAGGACAAATGACAGGGAGGGATTCATAATAAGCTTCTTTGACTAAAAGAGAGAGAGAGAAGCAACCAAAATAAAAAAACAAAACACTGCATCCAAAGTATCATCATAGGGAAAACAAAAATATTTAGATATCATTAGGTTTCTGATGTCCAGTACTTTAGCAAAATATTTACTAAAGTTACAATGTTTCACTTCAGGCTATTTTGCTGGCAATATTTCCTGTTTTGCAAAACTAGTTCCAGTTTCCAGAAAAGAGAAAGGAAAAAGAATAGAGAGGCTTTGCTATTTCAAGAGGAGGAGGAGGGGGAGGAGGAAGAGGAAGAGGAAAAAAGAAGAAAGTGTAACTTTAACAAACTGCTTGTACTTGGGGAAATTAGAGCTGTTTGTAGCCTGTGTTAAAAAGAAATTCTGTAGAATGAGAAAATTTGGACATATGGTCTCCAAGGTTTTCTGGATTTAAATACAGTTATTATGATTATACATGCTGAAGATCTAGGTGAGTTTGCTTTCTAGGAATCTTTCTGAGAAAGTATGTTTTAAGGTAAACTGAGGCAATGAGTAGTGGGAAGCAAGGCAGAGATAGCTAAAGGAACAGAGAATTTAGGTGAGGACAAATGACAGGGAGGGATTCATAATAAGCTTCTTTGACTAAAAGAGAGAGAGAGAAGCAAGCTAGAAAAATTGATAAATGTAAAATAAGAAGACCTAGACAGGTCATAGCCACCTTACAATGTCTGCTCCTGCCCAGAGATTTGTACTCCATCTGCGTACCCAGTAGGAAAGAACAATTGTAACTCTCTGTATTATGACAGGAAATGAAAGGTATGGAACAGTACAGCACATGAATTCAGGTACATGGGTTATTTTGTCAAAATAAAAACACCGATAAATAATCAGCACCCTATCGTGAGCCATCTGCCACGGCCTGTCAGATTGGGCTCCTTCTTCACTCCTTCCCCAGCAATTTCTACTTTTTTATTTGTCTTTGAAGCCATCTTAATAACAAAAGCACAATCCCCATGTTTCTGGAGAGTGAGCGAATGCTTACATTTCACCATGACGCCACTGTCAGATTGTCCTGATAACAAACCTGCAGTTACCACATTTCCATCTTAGGCTTCCTGGCTCAGAACAGATTTGCAGATCACATATGTGGAGGAGGAGTATCACTGAGTCATATAGGATTAGAGGATAACGTTCCTAAACAGAGCAACAGACTTAGGAAGTAAAAGAAATTGCCACATATTGCAAGGAGTAACTTGGAAGAATTTCCTTCTTAATTAAAGGTGACAGAGCCGCTACAGTTTATCACCGACTGCCGAGTCGCAGTAGTGATCACAGACTCAGCTCTGGAAAACAACCTTCCACACAGGCCATGCATTGAGTGGGAGCCACTCAGCAGGGTGATGTCTCTAGAGAAAGTTAGTTGTTGCTTTGCCCCTGACTCATTTATTAAACATGGCATTCAAAAATCATCCAGGAAGGGACTTACTTACAGGGAGATGGACATTCTGGCTTGGCTACTGTCTCCATCCCACTTACTGAGCTCACCATCTTAGGTCAGGGACAGCTATTGGCCTGCTCATGCTTATAAGTGTTCTTTTGTGAGCGGTTCCAAACTTTTAAGCACATCCAAACATTTTTGACGGCACTGTTATGGTTTAGAGCTAAGGTGTCCCTACAAAGTCTCATGTGTTCAGAGGTGGGGATTTTGCAAGGTGATTTGATCATGGGGGTGCAAAACTCATCAGTGAATTCATTCATTGATGGGTTCCTAGCTGAAGGTACTATTGGGAGGTGGGGCCAGGTTGGAGCTGGCTCACTGAGGACATGAGCTGGAAGGGTAAATCTCAGACCTGGCTTCTCCTTTCTTTCTCTGCTTCCTGACTGCCATGGGCTGTGCAGCTTTTCTCCACCAGACCTTTCCACTGTGCTGTTGCTGCCTGGGAGCCAACCAACCGTGGACTGAATCTGTTGAAATGTGAGTCAAAATAAACCTCTTCTTTAAGTTGGACATGTCAGTATTGCAGATAGCTAAGTTAATTAGAAATTATAATTTCTAATTAGACAAAGCTGGGCTGAAAAACAACTGAGGCACATTCTCTGGGGCATTATAAAAAGAAAAGAAGGACTACTTCCTCTAGAGGTTAATAGCAGTGATTGATATTATAAATAGACATCAATCACCCTAGTCCTTTCTGGAAATTCCTTGTACGTGACTTGTTTTCCCATTTGACCCCCATTTAATCAATATTACCTAGGTGACTGTACTTGTAATCTTATTGGTTGATCATGGTTTTGTCCCACCTCATGCCCACCTTGCACTTTTCCATTGGGTCTTATAGCTTTGCTTCACCTTGTACCCATCTCACCTGATGGCTTTGCTCAAGAAGTCACCTTTGAAAATCAGGATGGGTGGGCAATCCATTTTCCAGTCCCATTTCTGTCTTTCTTAGACAAAAACTATCTTTCAATGAATGTTTCCTATTCTTAACCTCCATTGTTCCTAGAATTCATTCAGAACTCATGTTTTGGATATCTAGGAGGTTTGGGAGTTACATTTATTCTGCCTATATCAGTAGGAACTTTGTTGAAGTGACAGAAAGGTGACTAATCCAAGTGTCTACCTTAACATGACCCTGATCATGACAGCAGTAATGGTAATCACTAACAGAGCACCAGATCTCTGCTTGGCATTCTATTCTTTACTTTCAGCTGTAACTGTTTATCCCTTGCTCCTTGCTTGGAAGGAAGGGAACATGCACTGCTCTATCTTGAGCATACCTCAGGCCTACTCACCTACAGAAAAGACATGCCCTGGTCTGCTGTTCCTTTCATAAGCTCCCATCATGAGCTGTTTCCATCCAGGTAGCTCAGTGCATCTGCATTTGCTCATGAAGTATTTTATATTCAGCAAGGGGCCAGAGTGAGGAGATGCTCTGGTATAATTACATTAGGAATAAAGCTAATGTTTTGATTTCCACTTTCTTACAGTCTTATCTTCTCTGGTAGTTTTGATCCGAATGAGGTAGTGTTTTTACTTATCCCATGGATCTCCAGCTCTCACACGGATGGCGTGCATTCAGGGAAGTGCAGATATCTTTCTAAATGAGAAGCTGCGGCTACGTCAGAAGTTAGCTAACAGCATTGAGGATTCGCTGCAGCACTGTGTTAATGTCAATACCACTTTCTCTCCATGCTGCTTGGAGGGAGCAGCCAAGCAAGGGCCTAGAGCCCAGGTATTCCTGCTCAAGGCAGGGTTTTCCCTGTGGTCAGTCCTTGCCCTGGGCCTCACCACACTTTGTGAAACTGTGCTGCGGACCAAGGCTCTTCCTAGCTAACACTCTTTTTTTCTCTCTTCATCAACTCCTGCTTGCTCTGCTTCTCACCTCCCTTTGTCCTCCACAGACACCCCGCCCAATAAACATTTTGCGCTTCTACTTTCATGGTGGTGGGTCTTCCCTCAAGACCCAAACTGACGGCATCAGTATTATTATATTCTTCGTTTCAATGAGGAAGAGATGGAGGGCCAGGCAAGAAAATCGAAGACATAAATATGCTCCCTTTTAAAAGTTGATACACATGCTTGGGATTGAGTTTTGCTGGGAAAATATACCCCATCTACTTGTTTGAAAGATATCATCATTTCTTCATAAAGGTGAACCCAAATGGACCTGTCTATCCAGAGCAAGAATACAAAGATATATTGGCTTGAAGAAATCAAAGAGAACATTAAAAACAGGAGACACCTCCAGAACCCACTTCAGAGATTTGATTCTGAAAAGACTGCTAATGCGTCCATGAGATAAACAAATTACAGCAACAAACATAATTACCACATTGGCCACTATGAATAGCTCTTGACCTCCACCTTCATCTTCAAAACATATGGTTTTTAAGTACTTCCTTCAATTTCTCACTTTGCAGAGATCAAAAATACATCAAACTAAGAAAATGGATTTTTAAAATTCATTTTTTACTTACAACAACCACAATAACAACTCCAAATCTTATTTTCCATCCTAATACACAAAGGGTAGTAAACATATCAGGAAAGGATAACAGAGTTGTTTTGTGATTTTTGAGCCCTTAGGAATGTCTGAACGTGAAAGTATACGCATAATTTAAAAACTAAGTGAAGTTTCTTTTCATGGCATAATTTTCTAAAGGAAGGAAAGGACAGGACTTACCTTCACTAGAGTCTTTTGAACATTCTGGCTTCTTTGCTTTGCTCTTCTTGTGGGGTGGAGAGAGACCTTTTGGCTCTAGACCTTCTGGAAGTACAAAGATTGAATATACACTTATTTAAATATTTACTAGTGTGGTTAAAAATTGTGTTGAAGTTTAAAGATGTTTTCTTCTTAGTAAACCCACACATGCACTGAATCATAATTACAGTTTCATCTGTCATCATGGCTGAGCTGAATTTTGGCAAAGACCTGTGATTCTCCTGCCTACATATACTTAAACTTAAGGCATGAGCTAAATCATTTTTTGCAGACATCATTAATGACTCACACAAGTGTTAAATCACAAATAAATGCTTTAAAAATTGTCTAAAAGGACATCCCAAATTATTTCATTTTTTGCAAGAGAACATGACTTAAAATTTCATAGATTAACAGACAGTTGTCTTTGCACATTTCCTCTTGCTGAGCCCTCAAAGTAGAGCTAGACGAAATGCAAACTCATCTCATTTTGAGGGATGGGATGGGGCTTTAAATTATTCTGCTTCTATTTAACAGACTTCTTTAGCAATACAGATCCTAAACAACTTCCATATGTCCCCAATTAAATTTAGTGGTCCTCATTTTCCTCAATGTTTCTCTAGTCTGTCCACGGCAGCTACTAAATTGAACCCCAAAGACAGTTTTAGGAAAATGTCTCTAAATTCATCTCGTTTGGATATAGCATATTTTGTTAGGCATCAGTTCATATTTCCAGTCCTAATCTTCCTACTGAGTCTAAAACTGCTGTCTTCAATTGCCTACATGGTGTCTTGTTTTGGATTTGAAATTGGATTGCTTGTTTGCCCTTTAACATCCCTTTCTGTACTCCAGAAGATGAGACCCTCTGGACTGCAAGAATTAACTCTTTAGCTCTCCGGTTCCACCTCCTAGAGGCAGCCTAAGAGAAGCCAAGGGTTTTGACTTTCTAGAATCCTGTTGTCTTCACAGTCTGTTGTATTGCTCAATCCAAAGTTACAAGCCCTATCAGTGAAACCTCCTCTGCATGGCCCTCCTTCTTGCCCTAATGACTGCTTTTCACTTAACTCCAACCAGGCATTTGAAACTTAACACCAGCCTGAGCAGTTCATTTGAGGTCTGCAACAATCCACATTATTTCACATCTCAAGCTACCTACCCAGGAATTTAAAGCAAAGCTGAGATGGTATCTTCAATATTTCTCCTCACTTTTATTCTATTTTATTTTTGGTACCGGGGATCGAACTCGGGTCCTTGTGCTTGCAAGGCAGGTGGCAGAACCACTGAGCCAAATCCCCAGGCCCCTCACTTACTTTTCTACAAAAAGCAATCCCATAAGCTTTGCTCTAATACATTTCCCATACTCATCTCCTGTGCTCAGCCTTTGTGATCATCATGGTCACTCAAACCAGCAGCATCTCTTTCCTGGGTTACAATAATAACCTAAATTCTAACCTCTAATCTCCCTGCAATCTGTTCTCCATATAGCATCAAATATGACCTTTCAAAACATTAATCAGATTGGGTTGTTTGCCTGTTTAAAAATCACTACTTAGAATAAGATCTTAATTTGATTAAATGGCCTGGCAAAACATGTCACTTGGGCCCCACCTACTGCTCTAGCCTCATCTTCCACTTGCTCTTTGGATCTAGATTTATCAACTTCCTTTGTGTTCCTCACTCACAGCTGGGCTAGTTCCTGCCTCAGGATCTTTGTACCTGCTGTTGTAGCCCCCACTCTCCAACACATTTATTCAAACATCCCTCCTTCTCACACTTTGAATCTCAGATCAAATCCAACTTTAAGGGAAGACCTTCCCTGATGGCCTAACCTGAAGGAACCTCACAAGGGAAATCTCTCTTGAAGGCATCACTTATATCTGAATTATCTTACTCTTTTGTTTATTTCTTTCTTGTATCCCCCATACCAAGAATGCTAAATTCCATGAAAAAAAGGGTGGGGGCATTTGTCTTTCTTAATTCCTCTTTTATTCTTGCTCCCTGGCAGAACCATGGGAATTTCACTTTGAATTATATTTTATGTTTGGTTTACCCAGTCTTTTAAGGCCAAGACATAACAGGGTCCAGTCTTAATCTTCTCTCTCTTACCAGCTACCATCTCATGCCAGGATTCTAAAATTACACTACAGAGTTATGGCAACTCATTTCACTTTTCCCATTTATTTAAAAAGGAACAGAACAACAACAACAACAAAAAAAAAAACAATCCTCCCCAAGTTTGATAGATGTGCTATTAAAAATGTTGGCATTATGGACTGCAAAGGTTTTGGGCACTGGGCTAGGTTTTCTGCAGCTACAAGTCAGTCACATCTAAGGTCATTACCATGGCCAGGGTGAAAACTTTTGCCTGAAACTACATTAGCACCCCCCAAATTTCTGTCACCAGGTGTGAGATGTATGTTGACCCTTGAAGTGGGTTCAGCAAAAACAGAAATGAGATACGTGGAACAGCTCACTGAACACAGATAGTGGGCTCAAAGTGATTCATAAAATGGGCAAAGCGACATTTGCAGGCTCCACAGAGAAGTCTCTAATTCTTCTGTGCCCCTGAAATGTGATGGCTGCAGCCGGGACCAAGAAGAGAATTTCTAGTGCTGGAAATTCAACTCCAAACCAGCATGTCCTGGGATGGACATTTTGTGCATTTAATTCCTAATTTTTGATTTCCTAACCAAATGGGGATTCTTAGGGAATGGGTAAGATTTAAAATGGCAATTTAGCCACATTTTAAGATATTTAAATATCCCCCAAAGTACTGATGTTTCCTTTTGCAGAAATTGTAGGGTCTTCATAGGGCTGTTAGAGGGTGGGAGGCATATTTAATTGTGATATAATCTATGACAAGGGTATTGTATTATTTTTTGACACCCACCTAGGGAATTCAAATGAAAGTCACTAATAGTTTTGGCCAGGTCTCCATTTGTGGCCTCCAGTAGCTCATGGGGAGTTGTCTCTGCTTCTCCTCCAACGTGTCCATGCCTCTCTTTGACACTGGCCTGTATTTTCTGGGTTGCTCCTGTGCCTGGCAAAGAGTAGAAACCTGCAATTTCATCACAAGTATGGCTTCTTCCCCTGGGGAACTCAACTATGTACCCAACACTGTCTTAGCTACTATAGGTGGTTGCTGATATTCTGTCCCTACTGGCCCAGCCTGGGGCTGATGTCAACACTGCCTAGCCACAGGAAGGAAAGGGCATGGGGAAACATTTACCATGCCAGGACAGAAGGACTTAGCAGGGATACTAGGCATTGAAATTAGCCTGTTTCTTCTCCCTTCCAAAAGGGCAATGTCTCACCAGGAACATTACCTTGTCTGATACCACTTGAAGTGTGTTTGCCTAGTCCATTTACTGTAAGAGTCTGGAGACAGATGCAAGAAAATTGGGAACATGAGCCCAGGGTTCAGGCAAACCTGTATTCAAATTCTGGCTGTGCTACTTAAGCAAGAATTCATCCTATTTAAACCTTGATAATAACACAGAGTTGTCACACATAGGAAATGAGTTGATGTGTGCCAACTGATTGGCACAGAGTACATATGTGACTACTATCTGGCTCAGCAGGGATGGGTTGATGCTGACCTCAGCTGGCTAATGCCAATTAACTAGACCATCTTTCCCCAGCTCTCACAATCATTGGTCTCATTTTGGTAGTCTGCAAAAGACCATTGTGTGTGTGCTTACACCATAGAAATCTGCAAACTTTCCATATGAGAGACCTTGACTCAAAGATTCAATTTGCTAGCAACCACTGGTTTTCGGTATTTGTTATGCACTACCATTCACTGGCATTTCTTGGCAGGATAATTCCCTTGAGCAACCCTTCACAGCGTGGATTGCAATCTTAAAAATACCTTCAGCCTTCTTATTTACATGAGCAGAGGTGATGCACAATGGAGGGAAGACAGAGGTTAATGGTCTTGGGAAGCTGGTTTAGACTCATCCAGAGATTTTTATGAATCCAGCCTGCACATATACATGGTAGGGCCAGCTGGCTTGTTCTGGAACTTCACAACACAAATCTATGATTTCAACTATCAGATACTAGGAAATGGGGAGTAGCTCCCCAAGCCCACTCTGCCTGAGTGGCTTAACATCTTGGGGCTTTTCAGTGTGACTTGAACAGCTGTGCCCAGCTGCTAGAGACAAAACTCCTAGGGAATCCAGGGAGAGGGGGGTGGGGATAAAATAAAAAATGATGGTCCTATGAATACCCCCAAATCTCAAATGCTAACTCCTACCTTGTGAATTCTGCACTAGTATTAATAATGATTTTCTTAAAATAACTCAGTGGTTTGGATAACTACTTAAATATCATTAAGAAATCAATTTCCTTTTCATGTGTACTTATGGCACATAGGCAAATGACCCATGGCAAGAAAATGTTCTTATCCTGGGGAGCTGAGAGGGCAGCAACTCTATGAATGAAAGACACTGCAAGATACTTCATGTGAACAGGAAAAATGGAATAGTGAAGATTAACATTAAATTCTTGGATTTTAATCCGATGCAGAGTGACCATGTAAAATCTTTTTTTTCAATCAGTTTCAAAGTTCTTATTAACACTAAGACATTCTTAAATGGAAAATTAGCCTTGTATTTTATGATTTACAAAAGGCAGGCAGAGTCCTTGTCTTAGGTTGGATTGTTTTAGATAGAGATACTGAGACAACGGTAGGGTTTAAGCAGTTAATTTGACAGATTATCCCAGGGAGCATCAGAAAAGGGAGGAGGGAAGTCAGATAAGAAAAGGAAGGCAGCCAGAACTGGGGGTATTTACGAGCATGTCCCATTGTGGGCATCAGGGGATCAATTCTACTGGAGACCTGGAGTGATGATATAAAATCATGATGTCCAGTACTGCATCAGCTAGCCACATATTACTGATGAGTACTTGATATGTGGTCTGATTTCAGGTGTGAATGTTAAACACTCACCAGTGTCAAAGGCCTAGTATTGAAATATAAGGTAAAATATCTGATTAAAATAATTTTTACATATTATACATTCAGATTATAATATTTTGGGTTAGAATGTTATAAAATGTTATAACAATTAGTTTCACTTGTTTCTTGTTGTTTTTAACGTGACTACTAGAAAGTCTAGAATTATACAAGAGGCTCACATTATGCATCCTCCGTTATATATGTGAGGTTCAAATTACACATCTATGGAAAGTACTGGAAGAGAACTTGCCTGAGGTGTGTCCTACAGGGCTGTTGGTAACCCAGCTCTTGTCCACCACTGATCGCAGGGCTACTTCAGATAAATTCTCTCCCTGGTACTTTGAATTTGCTTTCATGACTAGAGACAAGCACGCAGCAGAGTTGTGAGAACTTTCCTTAAAATAAGTTGATACTGTGAGGGCCAGGGATTTAGCTCAGTGGTGCTGCCATCTGTCTCACAAGCACAAGGTCTTGCATTTGATCCCCAGTACAAAAAAAAAAAAAAAGTTGATACTGTGAAACAGTGGGTTCCCAAGGGATGTGGGTAAGGCACCTACAGCTGCTGCTAGTTTAATGACCCTCTTTCATTTCTTTGATCCTGCTTTTGCCTATGGGACCTCTGTCTACTTCTCATGCTCTTTGAATCTGCTTTGGGGGGACCAAGGGAACCTTGCCGATCAGACATGTCTGAGAAGAGGACGTAAAAGCTCCAATCATTGTTCCAGCTAATTTTTATAATGAAAATGAACTCATGTTATTTTTCATGAAGATGGTGGGTGGTTAAAGGTGGGAAAGAAATTTGATTTAACAGGAAGTCCTCATTTTACCAACCCTTACCAAGTGTGATCCACCATGTCAGAATTTAAAGAGTTCCCTGTTTGCAGAGCTGCTCAAACTCAGATTGTCACTGGTTTGTAAGGGAGTTTTGGAATTGAGAGGTACAAAAGAAGAAACTCTAGGGTAGCTATTTTAATTTTGAAATCTGTCTCTTTTTCATAACTAAATAAATGTGTTTCTTGAAAAGGGAATATGGGACTTTCAATTGTAGAATTAAATTCTATATCCTTCCAACACGTGTTAGAATGAGAAAAGAAGCAATACTGTATTTAATCTTCACTGTGGGTCAAGCACTGTGACAAATACTTACAGTATGATATCTAATTTAATCCCTGAGCACTATGGTGAGAATTATTGCCTTCAGAAATGCAAAGTAAGGTTTATAGAAAAGAACACTTTGTCACAGTCATCAGAAAATTGTGTAGCTAGAATTGAAGATCTATCAATTCCTGAATTCATTAGTAGGGATATACTGAATGACTATCTTAGGTCAGAACCCATAGTTTTAAGCACTGGATTTCTCTCAAAATGCTGGTCTTTCCAGAGAAGTTAACATGCACCTTTATTTTGGATGAGAACAATATATCCTATGTAAACAAATGCATTTTCCATAGATGGCTATAGTGACAGTTTAGCTCTGACATGCTTTGCAGAACTGCTCCCTATCCAGAGGTTCAGTCTATTTTTATTTCCCCTGAGTGTGGGTAGGCTACTTACTGTTTAAAAGACTAGACCTCAGTGGAAGGGGTGTGATGGGACTTCTAAGCTTTGATCTTAAAAAGGGCACAGCTCCTTGGGTCATTCTTTTGAGAGAAACTTAACTGGTTACCATGCTCTGAGGAAGCCTAGGCCACACAAAGGGGCCATGTACAAGTATTTCAGGACATGGCCCCCAAGCAAAGCTTTAGCTGGTAGCTAGAATCAATCATCAGTCAGCCAAATGAGTGAGTGAGTTTTCAGATGGGTCCTATCCCCGCAGCTGTGGAGGCTTCCTGGTGAGCCTCAGACCTGGTGGAACAGGATAATCAAGTTTTTTCTGCTGTGCTGTGCAAATTGCTCACACATAGAATATCTGAAGATCAAAAGTGGTTGTTTTAAGTGCCAGGATGTGAGGGTGATTTATTATACAATTCTATTAGCTATAACATCATAGTATATTTTTTACCTTAGCTGTCAGGAAGCTCAAAATCCAATTTAAATATATTAACTGCATTTACCTAAAGAGTTAGCACAGCGCTCCTTGTTTCATGACATCCAGGATACATTTTTTTAAAATTTTATTTTGTCTTTTTGAAAAAAATATGGACTATACATTAACCAAAAAGTGATGCCTGCTTGATGTAAGGAATAAGAGTAAACATCTAATACCTGTTTCTTCTTTCATGTCAATGTCTTCTTCACCTCCTTCCTCTTCTTTTACTTCTTCTTCATTATTATCATCTATTAAAATAGGAGAAGAAAAAGACCCATATAAAAGCTGGAAACACCAGAATTTTCAATTTCACTAATAAAATAATCAAAGTGGGAAAAAAGTTCGGCAGAAAAGTGACTGTTAAGCATGCATTTCTGTAATATTACCATATGGAGTTAAGAAGACTATATACACATTGGAGCACAATTTAACACTATAGGTTTATATTTTCTTTTTAGAAAGTTATATATTTATAACAAATTATATATGCAGTAATTTGTTTTGCTTATACAATGGGCATAGCAGTCATTTTAATTCTTCAAAATTGTGAATTACGGAGTAAGTATCAGATATTCTACCTGTGTTAAAGATAGGAACATTTATCTTAAATACTGAATAAATGTAGAGATTATCATTCGGCTGCATGTCAAGCACATACACATTTCAAATCCTTGCTCTGTACAGTAAAAAGTGCTGTTTTACTATCCTTGCAAATTCAAACACTTAATCATGTGCTTTTACACTTCTCCTCTGAGTCCTCTCTCTGCTGACAATGCACTTGCTCTTTTCGACTACTGACATCTCTTTTGAATGTCCCCCTGTTCAGAGTTGTGGTTTGAATGTCTATATCCTCCCCCCAAATCCATCTGTTCAGAACCTAATCCCAAGGTGCTGTAAGTAGGAGGTGGGGTCTTTAGAAGGTGATTAGACCACAGAGGTGGAATCCTTATGAGTAGGATTTATGCCCTTAGAGAAGAGTCCCAAGAAAGACCTCTCACCAATTTGCCCACTGGAGAGTTTCTAGAACCCCTTCTGCCATGTGAAGACATGGGGAGAAAACCACTCTCTTTAAGGAATTGAGCCCTCCTCAGCCCCTGAATATGCAGAAACTGGTTTTGGAGACTCCAACCTCTAAAACTGTGAGAAATAAATTTCTTTTGCTTATAAACCACCCAGTCTACAGCAATAGCCCAAATGGACTAAAACATCCGTTAGTGCCAAGTCCTGTCTTCTTTCAAGTTTTGTTCCTCTCTGCTCCTATTATGGCAACCTAGGGTGTGGTTCCCAGTACCTTTGCTTTAAGTATCTTAGAGGTTTCCTAATTGCTTCTCTCTTTTGCACCCTCCTGACTCATTTCTTTCACATGTGGCTGCAAATCAATCTTAAAATACAGTTCTGATCTGGTTCACAGCCACAGAGCAACTACTCTCTGTCTAATGAGAAAAGTCCAGACTCAGCTGGTGACACTCAAAGTCAACAATATCTGTTCTAAGCAGTTTTCCCACTATCACAAAATACTTGAAGCTTTATAAAGAGGTTTATTCAGCTCACAATTTTAGAGGCTTAACGTGCGTGACCTGGATGTCCAATCTATTCTGCTTTTGATGAGGGGCTTCTGGCATGTCACAGCATAGGGATGTTAACGATGGTAATGTGGTGGAAGTAAAGGGTATACAGAAGCACTCACCTGGTGAGAAGGTGAGAAAGGAAACAAGACAGCAGGGGGACCAGGTTATCTTATAACAACCCAGTCTCCCGAGAACTAACGTGGTCCTGTGAGAACTACATGAACCCCTCCTGGGATGGTGTTCCTATGATCTAATTATCTCTTAAGGTCCCACCACCTCAGCACCATTAATTGGGGACCAAGCTTCTAGCACACGAACCTTCACAGGAGAAACTACTGCATCCAAACCACAGCATCCCTTCTGGCTTCCTCTACTTGCCTCACTCGTGATAACAATGTCTTCCTCCATCCCTATTTACTCTCATCCTTCAAGGACAAGCTTAGATTCTCTTGAATGGAGGCAAGCAGATATTAAGAAACAAACAAGAGGCAGCTAAACCAGAGAAAAATTATCTTGGAAGTCTTCCCAGAGAATGTGGTGATTCGGGTTTGAACAAACAGTGTTCTTTTTGGTGTACCTTATTTTTGTTATACCTTATTCGGAGTAGTATGAGCTTTAAGTGCATTTGGGCTTATGTATGCAAATTGGTCCCTTAACATATTCTCTAGGCATGTGATCTTGGAGAAATTACTGAATATTCCTGAGTTTCAGGTTCATAGCTGTACAAGTGGGATGATTATTATGATATTATGCCTGTTATTCAGAGTTGCCATATACAATCATGAAATAATACCACATAAACCACCAGGATAGTTACTGAAACATCCGTAAGTGCTTAGCATTAGCTACTATTCCCACAAAGTTATAAGACTACTTATCAACATATCTGTCTCCTATATGACCATTTCCAGATCATGAATTCTATAGGGGAAAAGACCATGTCTTATTTTCCTCGTATTCCTTGGTACCTAATGCCACTCATTTCATGTAATAGAATCCACAAAGACATTTCCACTGAATGAACCAACCACATATCATTATACAATCTTGGGTCTTGGGTAAATAACATAAAACAGTATACTGCATACTTTAGTTTTTTCTTCTGAAAAATAGGGATAACAAAATTATCAACTTTCTATCATTGATAACATATACAAAGGCTTACAAAGAATGAACATTAAATACTGATAATTGCTTTTATGATATCATTATTATTACTTTTGTTACTTTAACAGCAATTTATTGAGCTTTACCATGTGTAAAAATTATGCTAGGCCTTGATGATACAAGTTAATGATCACTTCCCTTAAGGAAATCATAAAGTGAGTGATACAGAAAAGCAAAACAACAAGTAGAAGTTCTACTGGGAAAATGACAAGACGCACCAATGTCAGAAAGTCATCGGCAGCTCTGCGGAGGAGGTGAAGTTTCATCTGAACCCTAAAGGGTAAATTGAGTTTAGCTAGAGAAAGAGAAGCTGCAGGAGATGCCTCAAAAATGTGGGTTGCCTGTCTACATCTGCTGGTTTTTTGACTCTTCAGTATATATGCCAGCATGACTTAGAGCCTCTAGCTCCCGGTTCCTCTGCCTAAGAGCATTCTCTGGTCATTCCACCCCACTCAGTAAATACCAGGGGATTAGATCTTCCTGGGGCCAGGTGTGCAAAGATGGCTGACAGGACTGGTATATCAGGATCCCAGCTTTATGGCTTTATGAGCTCAATTCAATAATATTCTGAGTTTGTTCCACACCATCTCCCTGAAACTACACCATTATCTCTCCCTGGTCTCCACCTACCAATGGAGGATCATGGGACTTGATGACCTTTGCAAACATATGAGCTGTTCTTTATAATATCTTTATTCTATTTATCCATACATTTTCCATATATATATATGTACACATATATACATATATATATGTAGTTTCTGTTTCTCTAGAAATTTCTGACTAATATAACAGGTTAACATTTTTAAAGTTTGCCATAAAAATAAAAACAACTTTAGGCAGAGTAATATGCTATATTTTGAAAGATAGATTTTTTTTAATGACAGGAATGTACTAAGAAATTAAGAAAAATATGCCTTAATATTTTTGTATTGTTCATGTTAAAATCCAGCAAGAACTAAACTTGATCTGGAAAATGCCTAATATGTCATTATGTATTGGTAAAATCTACTTTAGTCCAACATGATTCTATATAATGTGTTTCCTTGAGTCATATTTATGGGAACAAAATTCTAATGAGAGTTTCTGCCCAACAAACCAAGCAACCCAAAATACCTTATATAAAATAAGATGATAGCCGGGGAGATGGGGAGTCACGCCATTCAAAATCTGGAAGCAGTTAGGAGACTGATGGCACGTGGGTAGAGCTGCTACCCCTTTCAACAGTTCTCCAAGCATCACACTTCTTTGTTAGAGGACAAAATGAAATAAAAGCTTTCTAGTCAAAGCGATACAAATATCATTGCAAAATACAGAGTCATCCATCAGATGGTATTGTTCTGTGTGCTCGGAAATGCCAGTTCCAGAAAATCCCTTCTCTTCCCAGGCATTGGTCACACAGAGAGGAAAACGTCTTCTCAAGGAGGGCTTCTTTGATGTTTATTTCATAACAGATGCTGCTTTCAGTTACTACATCCCTCTCTGTCAGATTAGCCCACTCAGTTATGTACAAAATACACAAACATTACTAAACTTCTCATTCTGATGAAAAATATTAGTGAAAAGTAACTAGTTTCTTATGAATACCCAGTTTTTGATAACAGATAGCTATATCTACTTCAGAAACTCTCCTCATAAAGTAGGGGCTAACTCACTCTGAGGTGTGTAATATCTATTTCACCTTCTTTTAAGGAGGTAGAGTTAATAAGAATGATTTTCATTTTAAATCAGTTACACTTGCCTTCTGAGATGCACCTCATTTCTCCCAAAAAATAGTCCACACTTCTTTGAATAATGAAGTATTTCATGGGCTTTGAGATGTGCACTATGTTTTTCTCTTGGATTCCCATAATTAATACAGAGTTTAGGGAAGTAGAAAGAAAACACACACACACACACACACACAGCCCCACAGAACTTTCTTCTAAGGCAGAATTCCTCTAATGTGGTGTCTGGGTCAACAGGAGCATTACTTGGAAATGTAGTAGAAATTCAAATTTTCTAGTCCTATTCAAGATCTATTGAATTAGAGGCTCTGAGGAGAGATCCTGAAATGTCTTGGTCAGATCTCTAGGTGATATTTGTGCACATTGAAGCTTGAAAACCACTGGTCTAAAATGTTGATATTACTGCGTTGGAGGTCAACCTTTAAAAAAGTAGGTGTCCATATTTTCTGATACCTGTGTTAAATTAACTTGTAATGTCTTACCAACATTAACTGTGAGGGGCTCCCACGTGGAGCTGAGGCACAGTTATGCTTCTCATGAGGTATTATGTGCTTCCTTCTGTGTTTGAAAGCACACAGGTACCTGCAGCTGGCTGCAGGGTATCATGGTCCATGGACAGGATTGTTGAGATTGGTTAAGAGACATGTGAATATGTGAATACTATCTCAAAGAGGCATGCAGTTGCATGGGAAAAGGAGGGTGTTACAAAGGAGAAAATTACCCCAGTGAGCTAACAAGGCATCCTCTCCATTCCCATGGGAATAGAAAGACAGATCCCCAAAATTA